TCCAAGCATCTATGTAATTTAGATTATGGGAACCCCTTGTTCTGTCAAAGGAACTTGCACAACATAGAAAATAAAATAAAATAAAAGATTTAGTAAACTTTCAGCTCTGCAGTATTCATAAGAGCCAGTTGTTGAATTGTATATCCTAGTGATTCGGGGCCACACCTTCCCAGAACAGTTGGGAGTGGGAGGGGTAAAAAGCACACACACACCAAACCCTGTCTAGCAGGAAGTGCAGCTTCCCAAAGTGCTGATTCATGAGAGAGAAACAGAAAGGAGAAGGTGAAGAACAAATATGCCAAGAAGAAGGGAAAGGAAAAGTTAATGAAAAAGAAAGTGGAGGCCTGGGAGAAAGAGACGAGACGTGGCGGACAGCAGAATTTGAGAGGGAAGGAGGTGGCTAATTGGACATGAGAGGAATAAAAGTCAACCATGTCATTAAAGGGAACCAAAGGAGAAATTACTCATTTAGGGTCTGATCCAAAGTCTGTTACTGTCAATGGACTAAGGCCCTTAGAATTTGGTCATTCTATTCACACTGAGTAGAACACTTACCCTGTGAGCAGTCTATATAGGACTGGACAGAGGCAACGCATGGAGGGGCACGTGGGGTCACGTGTCCCCTCCAGATTTGCTGCTTGGCTTGTACTGAGCGTGCTCATATGGACTGAGCATGCTCAGTAACATCTCTGAAGCTGCTGCCCTCACTCTGCCTCCCCCCATTATCAGCAGGTATGGGTCATCTTTGGAACTGGGAGGCAGAAGCATGTCTTTGGCTTTTAATTCATAGATCCATTATCTGATGACATAAAACATCAGTGTCAACCTAGCATGGCTCCAGAAATTGTTTAAAATAATGTCCAGTAGCACAGACTCTGATCCCATCCACTAAAGCCAATGGGAGTTTTGCCATTGACTTCAGTGGGTATAGGATCAAGCCCTTAGAGAGGGCAAAATAAAAGATGAGCTAGGTGAAGGAAGAGAATTCACTGCTGGATGCAAAGTAAAGCCTGCAATTTTCTTCCTTTGTCTTTTGTTTTCCCATAAATGTTTGTGTGGATTTGAGGAAAATCCTCTAAGGTCAATAATTTCCAGTCTCTGTGGGACCAGAGGTGTGTTTGTGACCACACGGGGCATCCAGACTTCTGCACAGGTATTTGCAATTCTGTTCTAGTCTCCTCATGCTGACTTCTAAACTCATCTGTCTCTAACATTAGCAGCAGCTGGGGAATCAATAGAGACAGCTGAAAGTTATTTACAGATGTTAGCAGGGAAAATGGGAAACCACAGAGCAGAATAGCATATACAACTTATCCAATAATAAAAACTGTTCTGCTGTAATTAAAACAGGAAATATTTTATGTAAACCTTCAGTTTCTCTTTGTGAGGAACAGGACTAATCTCTGCAATTAGTGTCCAAATAGTCTGACAGCCCTGACAATAATATAAACTTCTGAACTACAATGGCTGAAATTGCAGCACCTTTTCCATCTGTTCAGGTATGTCATAATAACATAGTAATGGTCTTGGCCAATCACAGGGTACAGATGTAGCTTTGAAGAAGGCAACTGAGTGGAACAGCTTTCAATGTCATTTTTACTAGGGCCATCAAACCAAGTTTACATTTAAGTCTACTGTTGACTTTGTTCCATCATATCTTTCCATGCTTTATCCACTTCTTATGCAAATGATCATTCAGGCCCTGATCCTGAATAAATACTTAAACATGTGCATAATATTGGTCAGGTGAGTAGCAGTCTTATTACTCACTTCAGCAAAATTACACAAAAGCATAAGTGCTTTGCGGGATCAGGCCATAATAATATAATCTAACCCTATTTATATTCAATGCAAACACAAATAGCATAACAATAAGAAATAAGGTGGTGTAATACTTACTACTGTCCATACATGAATTCACACCTTATTTAGTTTAGAAAATCTAAAACAAATTATAATTAGGGCTGTTGATTAATCACAGCTAACTCACGCAATTAACTCAAAAAACTTAACTGCGATTAAAAGAATTAATTGTGATTAATTGCACTGTTAAACAATAGAATGCCAACTGAAATATATTAAATATTTGTGGATGTTTTTCTACATTTTCAGAACAATGTAAATCTTTAGAGCCTACAAGTCTGCTCAGTCCTACTTCTTGTTCAGCCAATTGCTAAGACAAACAAGTCTGTTTACATTGATGGGAGATACTACTGACTCCTTTTTATTTACAATGTCACCTAAAAGTGAGAACAGGTATTCGCATGGCACTTTTGTAGCTAGCGTTGCAAGGTATTTATGTGCCAGATATGCTAAACATTCATATGTCCCTTCATGCTTCGGTCATCATTCCAGAGGACATGCTTCCATGCTGATGGTGCTCATTAAAAAAATAATGCATTAATTAAATTTGTGAGTGAACTTCTTGGGGGAGAATTGCATGACTCCTGTCCTGTTTTACCTGCATTGTGCTATGTATTTCATATTATAGCAGTCTCGGACGATGACCCAGCACATGTTGTTTGTTTTAAAAACATTTTCACAGCAAATTTGACAAAACGCAAAGAAGGTACCAATGTGAGATTTCTATGGACAGATACAGCACTCGACCCAACGTTTAAGAATCTGAAGTGCCTTCCAAAAATCTGAGAGGGATAAGGTGTGGAGCATGCTTTCAGATGTCTTAAAAGAGCAACACTCTGATGCAGAAACTACAGAACCTGAATCATCAAAAAAGAAAATCAACCTTCTGCTGGTGGCATCTGACTCAGATAATGAAAATGAACATGCGTCAGTCCGCTCTGCTTTGGATCGTTATTGAGCAGAACCTATCATCAGCATGAACACATGTATTCTAGAATGGTGGTTGAAGCATGAAGGGACATATGAATCTTTAGTGCATCTGGCATGTAACTATCTTGCGATGCTGGTTACAACAGTGCCATGTTCTCACTTTCAGGTGAGACTGTAAACACAGCGTGGGCAGCTTTATCTCCTGAAAATTGCAACCAAACTTGTTTGTGTGATTTCAGAGTAACAGTCATGTTAGTCTGTATTCGCAAAAAGAAAAAGGAGTACTTGTGGCACCTTAGAGACTAACCAATTTATTTGCACATAAGCTTTCGTGAGCTACAGCTCACTTCATCGGATGCATACTGTGGAAACTGCAGAAGACATTATATACACAGAGACCATGAAACAATACCTCCTCCCACCCCACTCTCCTGCTGGTAATAGCTTATCTAAAGTGATCACTCTCCTTACAATGTATATGATAATCAAGTTGGGCTATTTCCAGCACAAATCCAGGTTTTCTCACCTCCGCCCCCCCCACACAAACTCGCTCTCCTGCTGGTATGCCCATCCAAAGTGACCACTCTCTTTCAATGTGTATGATTGGAAATGCCCCCTTGATTATCATACACTTGTAAAGAGGTTGATGTATTACCAGCAGGAGAGCGAGTTTGGGGGGGGGGGGGCGCGGAGGTGAGAAAACCTGGATTTGTGCTGGAAATGGCCCAACTTGATTATCATATACATTGTAAGGAGAGTGATCACTTTAGATAAGCTATTACCAGCAGGAGAGTGGGGTGGGAGGAGGTATTGTTTCATGGTCTCTGTGTATATAATGTCTTCTGCAGTTTCCACAGTATGCATCCGATGAAGTGAGCTGTAGCTCACGAAAGCTTATGCTCAAATAAATTGGTTAGTCTCTAAGGTGCCACAAGTACTCCTTTTCTTTTTGTTTGTCTGAGTGATTGGCTGAAGTAGAACTGAGTGGACTTGTAGGTTCTAAAGTTTTACATTCAGGTTTTTTTTTTAATACAGTTATTTTTTGTACATAATTCTATATTTGTAAGTTCAACTTTCATGATAAAGAGATTGCACTACAGTTCTTGTATTAGGTGAATTGAAATATACTATTTCTTTTGTTTTTTACAGTGCAAATATTTGTAATTAAAAATAAATAAAAGTGAGCACTGTACACTTTGTATTCTGTGTTGTAATTGAGATCAATATATTTGAAATGTAGAAAACATCTAAAAATATTTAAATAAATGGTATTCTATTATTGTTTAACAGCGCAATTAATCATGATTAATATTTTTAATCACTTGACAGCCCTAATTATAATTTGTTTTAATAGTTCATCTCCTGTTCACATTTATTATGTAGATCAGTGTGAATGCCACTCTCAAAACAGGTAAAACAGGTCAGGTTTTTAATGTTTTCTAACCATTTGGTGACATATTCCTAGTAGAGTTTGATCATATATTACGATAGGCCATAAATCTATACCAGCTACCTCTTCATCAATATGGGCAACTGTAAGAGCAATTTTGACCACAGGTGGCCCTAAAAAATAAGGACGTAAAGAAAAATATGGGAGAAAGTTAAAAGTCAAACTTAACATTTTCGTGGGCCCAGATTTTCAAGATCGCATACTCACAATTAAGCATGAAAAAACAAGTGTGCATAATTTGTGTATGGCAACTAACTACACAATTGTAATGAAATGCATATACAGGTGACCATTTAAATGTCTGCCTGGCCTTTTGTACATACAATTACTTTGATTTCCATACACATTTTAGGTAACTGCATGCAGAGTTTCTGCCCCACACATTTTTGCAAATGTAGTTCTGAAAATGGGGCTGAGAGAGAACTTGATTTGGTATAATCCATGGCCATCTTGTGCACTTAATCTCCCTCCCCAAACTGGAAGCAAGGACACTACAGAGCCAGGAGAAAAATCTGGCCTTGCTTAGGCAGACAAAAACAGCTGCAAGGTGCAGTTTTACCACCCGGGATAGATAAAGTGAAAGGACAAATTCATGAGAAGGGGGCGGGAAATGTGGAAAACTGACCTTGATTCTGGTTATCTGTGTTTAAGTTTTTTTTGCTGAAGCTGCTTTGCAGATAAGGAGACTAATGAATTGTTATTGGCTGTTGCTAGGGAAATTGTTAACCTATTAGGGGCTGTTATGAGTAATGTGCTTTGTCCAGAGAAAATGTATAAAGAGTTTAGTTAGAAAATGTGTTTTGGAGCAGTCCAGGAAGCTTTTTTTGGGGCAAGGAGCTGACACCAAAATTTCCCAGCAGCCGGACGGAAGGAGCAGCCCTGGAAGCCTGGTTGCTGATTACTCGAAACCATCTCAGACTTTGGGTAAATACATGTTTGGAATGCTCTGAACCTACAACTACAGAGCGCGCGCGCGTGTGTGTGTGTGTGTGTGTGTGTACATACACGCTTGCTTGAAACCTAATAAAGTAGTTTTAGGTAAAAGCACTCGTTTGTACCAATCATTATCAGACAGAGGAGCTGTGCCCTCTTTGATTTATTCCTGACACTGTCTGAAGACAGTCAAGTTACCACTGCTTTGGGTTCTGAAAACCCTGTGTAACACCAGGACTGGCCTTGATCAGTGCTGTAACTATTATCACAGCAGGATTTCATTCTCAACATTCAATTAGAGTCATAATTAATTCTGCAGGTCTAAAATGTTTTACAGTTATAACTTATTTATGCGTACAACATCTTCCTCGCATCTGAAATTAGATTTACAGCTCTTTAATTTCCTTATTCTTACCTTGCTCATTTAAATATATATATAGCTACTAGAGTAAGTATTCTTAGTCCTCAGACACATTCAGAAAAGTGGACATTCAGTGGACTATGTCTCCAAATGAGTGCTTTGTGAAGCATATCACCCAGAATAAGGTTCTGTGCCAGTTATCTTCTCTGAAAAGCTAACTTAGTGCTATCATTTGCTATCCCTTGTTTTAATTTGTCTCAAATAAACGGTCAGCTTGTCTCAAACAATACTCTTATTTCTAAGATTATCAGACACATTCAGATTTCCATTAGCGTTCTTTTCCTGAAAATTAAAAGCGTCATTTAGAGAACACATCCTAGTCCGTTGAGATATGTTTAATATTTGCAGATCCTGCTTTTATACATTTGTACCATGGTGGGTTTTTTGAGAGACCCAAAGTATATCTACCTGAATTAATGTCAGTGATTTAGGACTGTTTATGCACACACACCCCACAAGCTAACAAAATATAAAACCTTTTAATGTGGCATTATATTATATGTGGGGTTAAGTAACAAGACAACTTGAAAACAGCAATAAACCCTGAATGCTTTCCAGAAATCACTAATGCTGCCCCACACAGTTGGTCAGAAGTGTGATAATAAACAAAATAGGAAAGACTAGAAGAGATGTGTATTACTGTACATTATATAAATACCCACATATGCAGGAAGATTATTTACTGCAAAGCTAAAGTTATCAAGTGAATGAGCCTTACAATTATTTGTTTAATATCTAGTATATATCTCTGAAGTAGCCTCATAGAAAATATTAATTTTTATTGCTTTAAAGTGTTAAAAAAGGCATGAGATCTTTAGGCACAGGACAGTGGTCCGGTGGATAGGGCAAAAGACTGGGAGCTGGAAAACATGGGCTCCACTTCCAGTTCTGCCACTAGTCTTCTGCATGAATTTGCACAAATCAATTCAGCGTGATCACTATGCATTTGTACAATTCTAGCACAAGGCTGGGGCCTCTAGGCATTACTATTGTAATAGAGATAGGTCATTGATACCAGAAGTCCCGAAGTACCCCAACTAAAAAGAGAGGGTCTTATGCTACGCAGCCTGTTTTTAAAAAAAGAAAGAGTATCTACATCTGAAGCATTCTTCTGTTCCCTTCTACTTGTATTTACATGTGTTGCCTCTATGTATGGAATACCCTCTCAATCCAAGTTCAGTAAGCAACCACCATCTTTGAATACAAATCTACCTGGAAAAACAACTCACCCAGGATACTCATAAAAATTATGTTTATTATTTTAGTGGGGGAGAGAAGACAAAAAACAAGGCTTTTTGTTGTCCTGAATACATCTCAACTTCAATGGAGTTATGCCAATTTACACCAGCTGAGGATCTGTCCCTCTGTGTCCAAAGGATACATCATGTGCTACTCAGGGACTGAGCTTTTGAGGTTTCTCTATACAGCCTATATGAATTTATATTTGCTGTTCATATGGTTAAAAAAAGGAAAGCCACTTGACTATATTCCAAGTTCCTAGGTAAACTATAACTCATATTTCTAACTTCAAAGCAACAACACCATCCTAATTACGCATCACCTATAAAATCACAGAACATTCACCATGATCTGGAGTTTCATATCCAGATTTATGTCAAATTCACCCTTTCAGCTCAGAAACACATTTGGTTAAGTGAGAAAACAAGCAATGATTTTAAACAACTCATTCGAATCTCATCCAAAGTGGGCTATTGTATTCTAATGCTCATTTAGCTAAAAGCAAGCATTTCATTCTAGTTTCATTTAACTCAGCCTCAGCTTTGTGTGTGGAAGGCTGCAGCTATTTGATTCTGTAATGCCAGAGTTCCTAGAGTACATTTGTATCAATCAATCAATCTAGCCAGACATTTACTTGATGAGGAAACAACAGTAAAGGGTGGGACTGGTGTCTGGGTAGCAAAGAGAGCTGAAAAGCTGTCATGAATGTACACTGAAGCCAGGAAACAGGATTGGGTACATCTCAACCGTGAGGCCATCTTCATGTAGAAATTGTAAGGCAAATTTAAGCAGGGTTAGCAGAAAGAAAGGAACATGGCAGTGGTGTCTGAAGCTAAAGAAAACAAATGGATGGATTTAGATGGGCTGATTCAGTCACTGAACTGGTGGAAATAGGAAACAAAACAAGTCTGAGAAGGAGCACGGAGATCTGTTGGGAAGCAGGTCCTGTGATAAATCAATGATAGGGACTAGAGACAGAAACATATACGAAGGTTCTAAGGTGACAGGTGTGACTGGGGACAGGGATACAGGATAAGTGATTATATTTTTATATAGGTGCAATATGTAAATAGTATCAATGAAAATATAGAGTGTCTGAAAGAAACACATCTTTATTTGCAGCCTCCACTTCTGCTCATGCACATACCTGTATTCGTGGGGCCTCCTTGACACCTGCTCATCAACAGAAAGAGTCTAATGCTTGTACCCACAGGTGATAGAATCTGCATGCACAAAACCCCACTGAGATTAAGGCATTGAGGGGAAGCCATTGCTGCCTGTTGTGTGGGTAGGAAGATTCAGTCTCTAAAGCTGTTAATTTGGCACCGTCACGAACACTACGTTCATACTTTTTTTTAAAAAAAAGACATTCATAATTCTATAGCACTCAGATTGACCTATGTTCAGCATGAGTGGTATCACTTTAAAGACACGTGCTGCTTTATGTGACTGAAATGTAAGATGTGCAATAATTATTTCACACTTTATTCAGATCAAGTATGATGCCAAGATTTTCAGATGTTTAAGGTTATAGCAACAACTTTTTCACTGAATTATCTTAATTATATGAAGCTGTTCTAGGTGTGGCCCCGAATCACTTGTTACAACCAAAGTGGGAAGCAGAGATTCTATGCTTCCTACTCTTTGGCAAGGTTTATATAGCTGAGATAGTAACACTACTCCCTATGTCAGTAAAAAGGCGGACGGGAAGCTGAAAGGAATAATATAGAAAAATTCAAGACTGGAATATGTGTAAAGATCAACCTCAAATAAACTAGACTGTTCATCAGGGCTAGGACTGGGAAAACATATTTGGATATGTAGAAAACCTCTGAAATTTTGCCTGGTTTTAGAACTCAATTTTAGAATCGAAAATAAAATAATCAGTAATATAAAGATATCTCACTGTATACTGGCCACCCTCACACTGGATTAAGAGGAAAGGGCTTCCCAAACCAAATTATCTTCAGTTTCTGCATTAGGGTGATCCCACTCTTTTAGGAGATGAAGAGAAATGGACTTGAGGGATGCTACAAAAAGATGGAGAGGGAAGAGATGTTACCAAGCCTCTATCCAGCTGTTCTGTGGGAAGATCACAGCCATCAGGGAACACCTGAAGATCCCGGAGAAGAATTTGGGTATGACAAGCTACCAGCTAAAAAAGTCAATGAGAAAGAAAAGTCCTTGGGCGTCTTCCATAAGAAGGGAAAATTAAATAGAGAGAATTGAACTGGGATGATCTAAAAAGTTCAGATCACTTAGTAGAGCTGGTAAATATATATATTTTCCATGGAAAAGAGCAATTTTAATTTTTTCAACAAAATAAAAAATAATCCTTGAAAATTTGCATGGAAATGGGAATTTTTATGAGGAAAATGTTCATTTTGCCAAAAAGACATTTTTTGTCAGAAAAAATTTTAAAAACAACATTTGACAAGCTGTGTCATGTAGGTAACTTCTAGAGCAGCACATGAGCTCCCTTGCAGATTCCCTCAAACTAGTCATCATCATGGCCTAAGCCTATGACACAATTAAGCTCTTCTGGAATGAAAAAAAGTGGGGATGGAAATAGAGAAATTGTCTTTTCAAATGAAAAATGTATTTTAACCTTCACCTACATACTAAAACAACATGATTGAAACTCCTTACAAATACTTTTCTTCAAGTAGCAATAAAATTACACTTCTAATTAGAAAACTAAATTAAAATAATCAAACATGAAAACATATTATTCTAATTTTTTATACAGGAAACTCAGTGTCACTTGTATATTACTGAATTCAGCTATTCGAAATACCATAATTTAAAAAAGAAAATCACCTCACAAAATCTACTATATAGATTCTTAAGTGATTTATTTAAGCTGTAACCCTCAGGGAAATAAAGTTGAGTTGTCAGTTTCATTCCAAATGCATACAACAAAACTCTTTCAACCCTAATGTCTCAAAATGCAAGATCAAGGGGTAGTTTGCAAACCAGGATGTGTTGCAGTGCTCAGGTATTCCACCAATACTGCAGTATTCACAGACTACTTCCTCTTCCAGTTCCAAAAGCGGCTCCCAAATAAGACAAACCCTTTGTATAAACAGTCAAGCAATTGTGTCTGCATAGTTCAGAACACTCCAAAAAAGGATTCTAGATACACAAACCCATAAATGAAGTGAAATTTGCTAAACCCATCAATTTTAACTAAATCAAGCAATTTTACAGTGACAGGTGCATTAAGTGGGTACGGGCACTACACTGAACCACCGACCCAGACAAACTCATAAACCAATTCTCCTTTACTATATGCAGCTAGCTTGCTCTATGAAAAGCAAAATTGTTTCAGTTAATGTTCAGTTAATTAAAGCTTGTCTCTTTCACCACAAGAAGTTGGCCCAATAAAAGATATTATCTCTCCCACCTTATCTCTCTCATGTCTTGGAACCAACACAGCTACAACCACTCAGTTAATGTTGTTATTCTAAGTTCTGATTCTTTCACACTTATTCATGCTGAGTACTACAGTACCTAACCATCCGAGTAGTGCGACTGAAATCATAACGTTTGGGATGGGCTCATGGAGTGACTCATCCCAAGGAAGAGAGGTGGAACAAGGCCCTGAAGTTACAGTGGTGCATTTTTGACTGAATGATAAACTAGAGCTAGGCAAATAATCCAAAATAAATCCCGACAAATACGCCATTGAATTTTTAAACAAATCTGCTTTGACTGTGTTTGCAGCCTTCTGTGATTACTTTCCATGAATATTTTATCAGATGAAGAATGTTCACTGGAACATTGAGTTTTAAAGCAATGCTGCAGAACAGCTGAGGAAACCACATTGAGAAACAATCATTTCAAGTATCCATACTTAGAAACCTGACTGTTTACCATTAACTTGGGTTTGAATAGGGACTGGGTCATTACACATATCGAATCTATTTCCTTAAGTTAAGTAACACTACAAAAGTTTTTTTTTCCTCCTGCTGATAATAGCTCATCTTAACTAATTAGCCTCTCACAGTTTGTATGGTAACTTCCAACTTATCTGTATGTGTATATCTTACTATATGTTCCATTCTATGCATCCGATGAAGTGGGCTGTAAAAAAACATAGGGCCTGAATATAGCAGAAATATCAATAAACTGGGGGAGAGGGGGGAGAGAAACTGTCAGAAAAGGGACAGTTCTCTCATCCTCCAGTACCACAGAGGCATCTACATATAAGCACTGAAATGTTTGTTTTTCTCCTTATTAAGGCATGAAGACCCTATATTTAAGTACATTATATTTATTTGAACACTACATAGCAATCACAACCACCACCACAACCAGATGTTGACTGCAGCCTGCAGCTCCCTGCAGTCCAGAACCCTGCCTTCCAAAATGGAGAACGATATTTGGCCTCTGCAGCCACACCCCACCTCTTTACACAACAATGGCAGCTGCTCCACGTAACATTTGGGCAACAAAGTTTGAGGGAAGTGGCCGGGCAGAGCCAGAGGAGATCACTTTCCACAGTGTCATCCTCCAGGGTAGTATTCACGTAGCGCTGGAACATTTGAGCATGCAGGTTAATTCTGACAGAATTCAACAGTAACTTACAAAGATCTCTGGCAGCACCATGTTTGAGGTAGCCAGTCTTGTGACTCCAGGAGCCATGATGACCCTTGCAGCCTTCCATCCTGCTGCTGCCGCCTTTGGGAAAGGAACAAAGTACCATTTGGACAGAGCTTTCGCAGCTGTATTGCAAACCAAGCATTCAAAAATCATGGGTCACTCCCCAAAAAAATCTTGAAATTGTTCTTTTTAATCTCATGATTTTTAAGCCAAACAAAACAAAAACTATAATACATGTAGGGTTCTTATTTGCCTTCTGGCTTTTGAGCCTTTAGGATGCATTTGGGTCACATTTTCAAGGTTTTCCTCTGCAACCTTGAGAGCTAGAAATTTACTACTTTTTTTTAAATTAAAGCTGAGGTTCACATATTTGGCTTGTGATATACAGAAGGTCAGACTGGAAGATCTGGTGGTCACTTCTGGCCTCAACTCTATGATTATGTTCACATAATTTCAGGAGCTTGGGCTTTAAGAAAAACATTTAATGTAATGAAATATGGCAAAATTGGGATAGTTGACAAACACTGTCACAGTCACGTAACACAGTGCCTCTTCCACTATTGTGTAGCTGATTCATAAGGCTACTCCCTAATATGTTCAGTCCCTTCTCCCTACCATCTCCATTGTTGATAGGCACAATCAGTACAGGGTATTAAAGGGGACATGCTACTCTCCTCCCTCAAAATTTTACTGTGCCATTTATGTTTTCTGCTTCTCTTCAGTCCTCTCCCAGAAAAAGGTTTCATTCATCCTCTTCGACATTCCCTTCTGCCTCTGATCCACATTCATAATTCCGAATGCAGTGTACACGCGAATGTTGTACACCCAGATCAGATACACAATTTAGGGCTTTGAAAAGTCCCATACTTTTTTCTATACGGGGTTCTTGAAGGAGCCTAATGAACATGGGTGCCCAACTCCCATTCAATTTCCCTGGAATCTGAGCACCTTCAGGCTCCTTTGAAAATCCCAACTCTGTCTGCTAATTTTCATAAATTTCGTCATAGCCACTGCAGTCTCACAGGTGTTTCACGCCTAACAGTGATGAGCCCACCACGGCCAAGATATCAAATCAGTTTTAAATTATTTACATGCTCAGCTCATTTGCTGAGGAATACATTTAGGAAAATTTATATTCCTCGAGTGTTCCATCAGTGGGATGTTGCCTCCAGAAATATACATGTTGAGTCTTATCAGTGAAAGATTCCACTATCAGTAGCCCAACACATTTTAGGGTAACTGAAAATCACTGCAGTGCTAAGGAAAGATGTATGACCTACTTGCATAAAAAAAAAAAAGTACTTGCTTTCTACTTTATTCCAAATAACCTCTCCTAGATTGTTCAAGTATATATTTCATACATCCTCCATTACGCTCACCAACATCCCCCAACTCTCTATCCTAATACCCCTAGTCAGTTTCTGATGTCTTTATATATTAAATTAGCATCCAGTCTATCCCATCATTTCCACTTCAGTGGCAGTCCATCTCCCTGTGCTATTCCAGTTTATTCACAAAGCCCACACCCTCCATATTGCAACATCAAGATGACCATTCATCCAAATAATCCTGGTCAGCACTGTCACTGCTTTGACAACAGATGACTGTACCTGTCACATTAGATAAGCTATTCCCTTTGATTCAGATTAAATGGCAGGATGATACGTACATATAATCTGTCACATGTGGAGCCTTGGTGCAAAGACAAATCTATCAAATACGAAGTGCATGGAGAGAATGACAAAGCACATGAAATGTAATGGAATATGTTTTAATATTTGAAAGATCCTCCTTTCCAAAGGAGGACTTAATAGAGGAGAAGCTATTAAGCCTCTTACCAGTGAGAGCAAAATCTCTCTCACGCACACGAGTGCCCTTAATACACTATGGACTTCACTATGGTCTCCTATTCATACTCCCAGCTTATTTCTTCCAGCCATCTTGTTTCCATCAGCAATGCTAATAGGTTGAGATGTTCAAAGCAGTGCAAGGGAATTGGCCACATGTCTTCCATTAGTTAACAGATTGTGTTCCTTCTATTCATTCTAAATGGAAGATATGTGGCTAAATCCCCTGCACAGCTCTGAAAATCCCAACCCCAATCTCTAAGCACAGTCAAGGGAACAGAAGCACAGTCAGATGTCAACATCTGTTATGTCCAGCCTCAATTTATTCATACTTGATCTATGCCTTTTTAGTAAGTTTCATTTTGCTAGGATGGCGTAAAGAGGCCTAAGTGTAAATGACAACCATCTTGATGTATCTTTCCATCAACAAAAGCAAATAGGCTCCTACTTCCCTGGTCATAGAAACTGCAGTAATTCCTCAAGAAAGAGTCCTCACAAGAAATGCCAAATGTGTGAGGCAAAAGGCACCCAGATAACACCGTGACAGCCATCTACTATGCACTGCAAATATTCATAGTGATAGTAATAATAAATAATTCATCCTTGGTGTAACAATTTATGTAAACAGAATTACACCAAGGATTAATTTGGCCCTCATACTTTAATTTTCATGAAATTAATTTTGAGGGATCACACTGGAAATTACTCTTATTCCAAGATATGTATTGAAATCATCCTTTGTACACAAATGTCAGTGAGTGTGTGACTATCTTTCTAACCTCAGGAGGCCTTGTTCCAAAGGTTAAGAAGTCATCCTCCATGCTGAGGGACATGGAAGAGATCCAACAAGCAAAATACCCAGTAAATGTGACTATTAGGCATACATGAGGGATCATGTCCTCTCCTTCAAAAAAGACAGGTACCTTTTCTGTAACTGGTGTTCTTTGAGATGTGTTGCTCATGTCTATTCCACAACAGGTGTGCGTGCTTGCCATGTGCACCGGTGCCAGAAGTTTTTCCCATAGCAGTACCCGTAGGGGGGGGGGGAAGCGCCCCCCACAACCCTTGGAGTGGCACCTGCCTGGCGTGGTATATGGGGAGCTGCACGCTCCCCCCCCCCCCCCCTTAGTTCCTTCTTGCCAGACAACTCCGACAGAGGGGAAGGAGGGTGGGATGTGGAATAGACATGAGCAACACATCTCGAAGAACACCAGTTACGGAAAAGGTAACTGTCTTTTCTTCTTCGAGTGATTGCTCATGTGTATTCCACAATAGGTGATTCCAAGCTATATCTCTTGGAGGTGGGTAGGAGTTCACAAGTTCCCAGGATGGAGGACAGCCCTGCCAAACCTGGCATCATCCCTGGTTTGGGGGACGATCGCATAGTGCGAGGTGAACGTGTGAACTGAAGACCACGTGGCGGCCCTACAAATGTCCTGGATGGGGACGTGGGCCACGAAGGAAGCCGACAAGGCCTGCGCCCGAATCGAGCGTGCCCTCACAATGGGTGGCGGGGGGACACCTGCCACCTCATAACAGGAATGGATGCACGAAGTGATCCGATTGAAAAGCCGCTGAGTGGAAAGCGCACACTCAGCCGAGGCAACGAACAGTTGCGAGGCCTTTCTGAACGGCTTGGTCTGCTCAACGTAGAAAGCCAGAGCCTGCCGCACATTGAGCGTGTGGAGACGGCACTCCTCACTGGATGTGTGAGGCTTGGGGCAGAGGACCGGTAGAAAAATGTCCTGCCCCATGTGGTAGGCAGAGACCACCTTCAGGAGCAGGGCTGGCTCCAGCTTTTTTGCTGCCCCAAGCAGCGAAGGAAAAAACAAAAACAAACCAAGCCTGGTTGAGCTGCTGCCGAAGTGCCACCGAATAGGAAGAGAAGATATTTTGTTCAATATCTTCATAAATGATCTGGAGGATGGTGTGGATTGCACTCTCAGCAAATTTGCGGATGATACTAAACTGGGAGGAGTGGTAGATACGCTGGAGGGGAGGGATAGGATACAGAAGGACCTAGACAAATTGGAGGATTGGGCCAAAAGAAATCTGATGAGGTTCAATAAGGATAAGTGCAGGGTCCTGCACTTAGGACGGAAGAACCCAATGCACAGCTACAGACTAGGGACCGAATGGCTAGGCAGCAGTTCTGCGGAAAAGGACCTAGGGGTGACAGTGGACGAGAAGCTGGATATGAGTCAGCAGTGTGCCCTTGTTGCCAAGAAGGCCAATGGCATTTTGGGATGTATAAGTAGGGGCATAGCGAGCAGATCGAGGGACGTGATCGTTCCCCTCTATTCGATATTAGTGAGGCCTCATCTGGAGTACTGTGTCCAGTTTTGGGCCCCACACTTCAAGAAGGATGTGGAGAAATTGGAGAGAGTCCAACAAAGGGCAACAAAAATGATTAGGGGTCTGGAACACATGAGTTATGAGGAGAGGCTGAGGGAGCTGGGATTGTTTAGCCTGCAGAAGAGAAGAATGAGGGGGGATTTGATAGCTGCTTTCAACTACCTGAAAGGGGGTTCCAAAGAGGATGGCTCTAGACTGTTCTCAATGGTATCAGATGACAGAACGAGGAGTAATGGTCTCAAGCTGCAGTGGGGGAGGTTTAGATTGGATATTAGGAAAAACTTTTTCACTAAGAGGGTGGTGAAACACTGGAATGCGTTACCTAGGGAGGTGGTAGAATCTCCTTCCTTAGAGGTTTTTAAGGTCAGGCTTGACAAAGCCCTGGCTGGGATGATTTAACTGGGAATTGGTCCTGCTTCGAGCAGGGGGTTGGACTAGATGACCTTCTGGGGTCCCTTCCAACCCTTATATTCTATGATTCTATGACTGCAGGGCCTGCAGCCAAATTGCCGCCAAAGACCCAGACGTGCCGCCCCAAGTCCAGACAGATTGATGCCCCTTTCTATTGGCCGCCCCAGGCACCTGCTTCCTTCGCTGGTGCCTGGAGCCAGCCCTGTTCGGGAGGAAAGCGGGGTGTGCGTGGAGCTGGACCTTGTCCTTATGAAAGACTGTGTACGTTGCCTCGGAGGTCAGGGCCCTGAGCTCCGAGAGTCGCCTGGCCGACGTGATTGCAACCAGGAAGGCCACCTTACATGAGAGGTAAGACCAGGAGCACATGGTCAATGGTTCAAATGGGGGCCCTGTGAGATGAACCAACACCAGGTTTAGGTCCCACTGCGGCACCGGGGGTCTAGAATATGGAAAAAGACTGTCCAAACCCTTAAGGAACCAGACAGTCATATCATGGGAAAATACCGTGTGTCCTTGCACCGGTGGATGGAAGGCCAATATGGCTGCCAGGTGCACCTTGACCGACAAGGGCGCCAGGCAGGAGGTAATCAAGGATAAGCTGGATCGGAACGGTCACCGGGGCGACACCCTGGTCCGCCACCCACTGGGACCACTTCGCCAAATAAACGCGGCGAGTGGAGGGCCATCTACTTTTGAGGAGGACGCACTGAAGCTGCTCTGATCATGTCCTTTCTTTTCCACCTAACCACTGAGCAGCCATACCGTGAGGTAAAGAGCTGCCAGGTTGGGGTGGAGGAGGCAGCCCTGGTCCTGAGAGAACGGGCCTGGGCGGAGCGGCAAAGGACATGGCAGAGCTACCGCCAGGCCCATGAGGGTCCCTCACCAATGCTGCCTGGGCCACTCCGGGACAATCAGGAGGACCTGGGCCTTGTCGTCTTTATCTTTTCCAGGACCCTGCTGATTAGAGGGAATGGGGGAAAGGCATAAAGAAGCCGGCCTGACCAGGACAGGAGAAAGGCATTGGAGATAGCACCCCTCCCCAGACCCCCCTACCAGAACCAGAGGCATCGCCGGTTTTGCCGAGTCATGAATAGGTCCACCTGGGGAGTTCCCCACCTTCAGAAGAGCCAGTGGGCCACTTCCAGGTGGAAGGACCACTCGTGTTGTGAGGAAAAGTCCCTGCTCAAGCGATCTGCCCTCTTGTTCTGGGCGCCCGGTAGGTGGAAGGCCTTCAGGTGGATGCTGTGGGCTATACAGAAGTCCCACAGCCTGAGGGCTTCGCGGCAGAGGGCATAGGATCGGGCCCCGCCTTACCTGTTGATATAGAACATTGAGGCCATGTTGTCCAGGAAGACCCTGACTACCTTGCCCTCCAGGTGGGAGCAGGCCATACACGCCAGCTGCACCACCCTGAGCTCCTTGACGTTTATATGTAAGGTCAGGTCTTGAGCCGACCACAGGCCCTGAGAGTCTAAAAGTTCCCCACATGGGCCTCCCAACCCAGGTCCGATGCATCGGACACCAACTCCAACGATGGGGCTCTGTCCCTGAACGGGACCCCTTGGAGCATGTTGTTTGGGGCGGACCACCACCATAGTGAGGTGATTATAGAATCTGGCACGGTGAGGACCTTATACATCCTGTCCATGACCTGGGAGAACTTCGAGGCCAACCAGAGCTGGAGGGGCCTCATCCTGAGTCTGGCGTGATGGATCACGTATGTGCATGCCAACATGTGACCCAGGAGTTGCAGGCAAACCCTGGCTGTTGTCACTGGGAACCTTGTGACCGAGTCGATGAGACCTTTCAGGGTCTAGAATCTATCTGGCGGGAGGGAGGCCCTGGCTGACACTGCATCCAAGAGCGCCCTGATAAACTCTATGCATTGGACCAGGACTAATGTGGACTTGGTGTTGTTTACCAGCAGGCCCAAGGCAGTGCACGTAGACAGGAGGAGAGCCACTTGATCCCTCACCTGCACCCGGGAGTTGCCCTTGACCAGCCAGTTGTCCAGATAGGGAAATATCTGGACCCCCCACCATCTGAGGTAAGCCACTACCACCTACATGCATTTTGTAAACACCTTGGGGGCAATGGACAGACCAAATGGGAGGACCGTGAATTGGTAGTGACTCTGTCCCACCATGAAACGGAGGAAGTGCCTGTGCCTCTCGAATATGTGGACGTGGAATTATGCGTCCTGTAGATCGAGGGCAGGGTACCAGTCCCCGGGATCCAGGGAGGGGATGGAGACCATGCAGAACTTGAGCTTCACCATGTACTGGTTCAGACCTTGGAGGTCCAGGATGGGTCTGAGCCCCCCTTTGGCCTTCGGGATAAGGAAATAACGGGTGTAATACCCCTTGCCCATGAACTCCTCAGGCACCATCCCACCTTCTGCTCTAGCAGAGCTTTGTGCAAGGGGTCCCCCAAGAGGGACTGGGGCAGGGGTGGTTGGTTGGGGAGGAAGTAAACTGAAGGGTGTAACCCCGGGAGATGGTGTTGAGGACCCATCGGTCCGAGGTTAGCCGCGACCATTCCAGGAGGAAAGCACACAACTGGTTGGAGAAGGGAAGCTTTATTGGGGTGGATCCCTGATGAGGACTGGTGAGGTGCCCCCAAGCGTCCCATTAAAAACGCCTTTTCCCCGCCTGCTTGCCCTTGAAGGACCCAGGCTGCGGGGCAGGCCGAGACTGCCTCTGAGGGCATCTCTTATAGTCCCACTACTTTTTATGGGCAACCTCATTCTTCGGGAGGGATGCCTGGACAGGAGTCTGCTGCGACTTGAACTTAGGTTTTGCCGGAACCAGGTCATGGAGGCCCAGAGTCTGGAGGGTCATGCGGGAGTCTTTCATGCCAGGCAGGCTTGTATCTGTTTCCTCCACAAACAGAGCTTTCCTGTCAAACAGGAGATCCTGCATAGAAGACTGCGCCTCACTGGACAGCCCAGAGAGCAGGAGCCATGACGCCCATCTCATGGACACTGCAGAGGCCATTGATCGTGCAGCCGTGTCTGCAGCATCCAAGGCTGCCTGCAGAGATGCCCTAGTGGCCGCTGCCCCTTCCTCAACTAGCACCTTGAACTCCTTCCTATCGCGCTCCTGGAGGGAGTCCTCAAACTTGAGCAGGGAGTCCCACAGATTGAATTCGTACCAGCCCAGGAGAGCCTGATGGTTTGCCATTCATAACTGGAAGCTCGAAGATGAATAAACCTTCCTTCTGAAAGAGTCCAGTCTTCTAGAGTCTTTGTTCTTTGGGGTCGGGGCTGGTTGACCCTGCCATTCCCTGTGGTTGACCGAATCGACCATCAGGGAGTTGGGCGCCAGGTGGGTATACAAGTACTCATGCCCTTTAGTGGGTACAAAGTACTTGTGTTCCGCCTTTTTAGAGATGGGGGCCGATGAGGCCGGTGTTTGCCACAGGGCATTAGAAATCTTAGCCAGCCCTTCATGAAGAGGCAAGGCCACACTACTCGGTGCTGATGGAGACAACACGTTAAACAGGGAGTCTGTGGGCTCCTCCATCTCCTGTGCCTGGAGGTGGAGGCTGGGTACCACCCTCTTTAAGAGTTCTTGGTGGGCCCTGAAGTCCTCCTGTGGGACAGAGGGGGGAGGGGCCGTAATCGCCTCCTCCAGGAAGGGCGAGGAGGCCAGTGCAGTGCTCTGGGTGTCGGCCGGCACCGGAGGGTCCACCACCTGGTCAGACTCTGGGCACGTTCCCGAGGACGTACATCCCACCGACTCCTTTCTCAGAGGTCTGGAGAGGGAGGCCGATAGTGCTTCTGAAGCTCCGGCCACCGAGCGAGCTCCCACCAGGTGCTGCACTGGAGGCCACGGTACCCACTGGTACCACTGGGCCAGCCACGATGCTCGATGCCACTACACCTGCTGTGGCACTGGCGGGGCCGGTTGGTCGGGTTGGCTGGCCTGGCCCATCGAAGGATGGCTATGAATGGAGACCAGGCTGGCGTAAGATCTGCTGCTGTCTCTGGATTGGGAGGAGCAGTGGTGCCAGGATCTATGACGGCCAAGGGAACGCAATCTCGACACGGAGGACCGGTACCAACAGTAACAGTTGCTCCGTGAACGGCCTCGACGGGCGGACCTGCGACAGCGAGACACCATCGATCGATACCTGGGGCTGCGATGCCTTGGCAGAGACTTGGAGCAGGCGTCTGAGCGGGAACGGCGTCGATGACTGTGCCATGACCGACTGTGGTACTCTCTCCGAGACAAGGACCGATGGCGATGCCTGCTGCGGTCCCGCCGATATTCACTCCTTGAGGACGAGCGGTGCCACAAGTCCCAGCCGGACGGAACCCAACCAGACAATCTGGTCAGTGTCTAGAGTGATCCACCTGGACTCTTCCCTGAGCGATCACTGGGCAGTGATCGGCATCAGGAATGTTCCCTTGACCGAGACTGGTACTGGCCGGAGGCGACTGTGGAGATCCCAGCGGTGGCTTGCCTCTGGAGCGCGGGGCCGACATCAGCGGCACTCTGGGCACCGGCATGGACATAACGTCCTGGGCTGCCTGGAGGGCTTCAGGCATAGACGGCATCCGGACATCCAGAGAGGCCTGTTCCGAAGGGGCCAGGCTACTCCGCTCAACATGAGTTGGAGGCCTGGGGCCTGGTGGGGATCAAGGACTGCCCGACATGGGCCTAGCCTCTGTCCCAGACTTCCCTCAGTGCCACTGCGAAGAGGGAGTCTTCCTGGCCCTCTTGGAGTGCCCCGTGGATGGGGAGCGGTGCCATCTGGTCGATGGCACTGGAGAGTCGCCGTGTACCAACGCCACGGTGCCGGCTACCGGTTCAGAGTGGTGGGCCGGGATCGGGGTCAGCGCCAACTCCATCAGGATGGGCCGAAGCCTAATGTTCCTTTCTCTTTTGGTCCGAGGCTTAAATGACTTGCAAATCTTGCACCTTTCGCTGATATGGGTTTCTCCCAAGCAGCACAAACAGTCTGCATGCGGGTCACTTCTTGGCATAGAAAGTCTACAAGAGCCGTACGACTTAAACTCCGGGGTGTGGGGCATGCCTCAGCCTGGGCTCACTAACTAACTAAACTAACTACAAGTACTAACGCTGAACAAACGAATAGTTCTGGGGACGAACTACAGCGAAGCTGGAGCAGAGCAGTTCTGATGCACCTTCACTGGTGGCAAGAAGGAACTGAGGGTGGGGGGAAGCACACAGTCCCCCTTATACCACGCCTGGCAGGTGCCACTCCAGGGGTCGCAGGTCCCCCCTCCCCCCCCCACGGGTACTGCTAGGGGAAAAATTTCCGGCACACACACCTATTGTGGAATATACATGAGCAATCACTCAAAGAAGAACTGAGCTGGGGAAAATGGAATCCCATTAGGATTTAGGCTCCTAAGAAACTTGGGTGCTTTTGAAAATTTCATGCATAAAGTATATTATTACAAGCCCAAAGATTTTCAAGAATAGCTTAAACTTGGGCTCCTAAATTCCTAATTTCACCCCAATTTTCAAACTGAGGCATCTAGAATTCATGCCTAAATTTTATATTCAGGTATGTAGGATGGGATCTTTAAAAGTCCTCAGTGAAGTCCATGAGTTAGGCCAATGTTTTTGAAAATTGCACCCATACGTTACTTATGATAACATTAGACGCCTAAGTTTGAAATTTAAGCAAAATATTTGTAGTAATAAACTAACACATTTCCTGAAATAAAGGGCCTGATTTTTCACATTAGCAGGGGGAAATTAAGTCAAAAGCCATAAAGTGACAACAATCTTATCTTCCTTCAAGTCATTTTTCAAAATTCACTGTTTCTGTAGTGCATACAGAAAACAGCAACCTGATACCGAGTAGGAAGATGGCCAGCTGTAATGACTGTTCCTGACTGGCTAAGAATTGCACCCATTTTTTATAACCCTATGACCCTCACCTTACCATCTCTGCCCACTTGTCTGTTTCATCCACCTGTTGCATCTCATCTTTCAGATTACAAATCTAAATACAAATAGGGACTGCTATTTTGCAATTGCAATTACAAGAACTGTGCATGCAATCTTCATATTTGCATGTGAAAATGGCCAGTTAGACACAAAGTCTGCAATTACACATGTAACTTTTCAAATAGCAAACTGGGTTTCTGCTGATATGAAAATCAGTGCTCAAAATTATTTATTTTGACTGAGGGTTTTTTGGTCTTGGGAAAGTCCCTGACCCTCCCTAGCTTAGCATTCCCTTCTATAAAATGGGGATATTCTTTTCTTACTTAGTTCACAGGGGAATTGTCAGAATTAATCAGTTCATATTTGCTAAGTGCTTTAGAGATTAAAAGTGCTATGTTATTCTAAGACAGATACAAGAAATCACATCCAGGGTGATGAGAAAATAGACATTGTATTGAAGAAAAATATAAAAACATGACCAGAGTATGTGTTAGCACTTTGTTAATAACTGTTATTTTCTTTTAAATGTTTTCAAAAAGTTAGTTCTCAATGGCTGTAGTGCCTTAATAACTCAGCTGCTTCTCCCTCCCTTCTTTTTCTCCTTTTCTTCAATGTAGTATGTGATTGATTGCTTTAAAAAAAATACAGTTTCATTTTTTAATGTGACTCAGACTGGAAAAGTAGAATCAGTCATGAAGACAATCGTGTAATTAAGCAAAAAATTCATAAAGTGGGGGGCAGGAGAAAGAGAAAGACACAGACACAGCTACTGTAACTATTTTAATCAACAAAAGTAGTATCATAGTGAAAGAAAGCCAAGCCAGCCTCATAGCCAGCAGAGGGAGCCAGAAAAAGTGCTTACTATGCATTGTAAAAGAATAAAGAGAAACTAAAACAGATGCAATTTTTTCACATCTTTAGGGCTTTGCAAGCATTTATACATTATCTGGGTTTTTTTTTATTAAATGCATCTGTTCGTAACATTACAAGTTTAAAACCATTAAGTAACTTAAAAGGCCTGACTGATTTTCTGCAGAAGAGTAGTATTTGATTTCTACAGTTTACAGAGATGCAGCAGAACCTTTGATGAGCTTTGGTTACTTAGTTGCCAGGAAGTCTAATCTTCATTCAAGAAACAGAGGTTCTCCTGAAGTCGTCTGCAGGACTTGGATACAAGGAATACACACACAATGAGCCAGATGTTATGTTTTCCCCTACATACTACACTACAGAAGCCTACCTGTACTGTTTAATAAATAAATAATAATAATAATACTACCTAGTCTTATTAGCACTTATCAGTAGATCTCAAAGTGCTTTACAAAGAGGTCACTATCATTACCACCATTTTACAGTTGGGGAAACTGTGGCACGGGGAAGTGAAATGACTTGAGTCAAGTGTACATGATGCCGATAAAGACGCTCAAGCAGAGCTGGCTGAATACTATTAGATGAATAACCTACTCACTGATTTTTGCTGTCATTTATCAAATAAGATATTGGCCAAATATTTTTTTCCATTAATCCACTAGCTTTACACAAGTGAACAATTTTCATGGACTGATTAACACCACCACCCCGGTCAATGAATCTTAAAAATGAAAGGGCCAAATCCTCAGCTAGTATGAATGGGCATGGCTCAATTGACTTCAGTGCAGCCATGCTCATTTGCCCCAGACCTGCAGCTCAGAGCTGGGCAAATACTGCCAAAAAAAGTTTCCAAAATATCCATAGATTAAAATTTTTATAAACTTACTTTAGCGTTGAGCCTCTTTTGTGCTCATTCTGGGCCCAATCCTCCAACCACATAAGCACAGGAGTAATTTTACTTGTGTGTGTAGTCCCGGGGCAGTTCCAGAGGTTTTCCACATGGTAAGCACAACTGAACCACTCATTTTAATTAGCATGGCATGACTCAGGTTTGGCCAGGCCACCAATTCCAGGCCACCAATTCCAGGCCACCAATTCCACACAATGATGGAGGGACCACCAGGCCAAATATCAGTGAGCAGTGTTGCAAATGGATGCACTGGGTCACAATATCACTCAGTTTGGGGGCCTTCTCAAAGGGAGCGTCTGGGGCAAACTGACATTTTTGCCCACCAGGTAGCCCTGCCAATGGTACACACTGTACATCATGTGCATACAGCTGTGGGCACCACTGAGTAGTCCCATTGACTTCAGTAGGACTAACCACTTGAGTAATGCTGGTCATGAAGGTAACTGAAGGGTGGAATCAACACTGAAAACAATCTAGTA